TCTCGGGACCGGGAAAATCCTTATGCCCGCGAGACGCACACACCCTTCAGATTTAGGTCAAATGTCACACCCTAGGCTCAATTGTCACGGCCTAGAGACCGTGATAATTAGTCCCAGCCCATGAATTTTTACTGTTCTTCATTTTTGGCGTTTTTCGACCTCCAATCATCCTAAAACTCGTCCCGAACTTTCCCATATGACCTGAAACGTTGCAAATCCCCACTATCTCTCCTTCTCTCCCTAATTAACCCCAAGTTGTGTCCATTTCTCCAAATAAATCCCCTCCCCATTTATTTGCAACATTACCCTCCCCACATGATTTACCCATTTTTAATCAGAGCAACAGCAAGCAGAAGAAAAAGGTAACATAAACCCCCCCATCTTCCATCACTCGTTCCCAGCATCCTGAAAAGCAACGGAAAATAAAGAACCCCCAACCGTTCCGTCCTATTCATTCCTCCACATCTTAACCTGGACATACACCACAAACCCACTCCCAATCATGGACCTATGTAATTTTAGCCCCTGACACAAAGTTCAACGGATCAGTTTCCCAGCTTCACTCACCGAGCGCAAGCAAAGAGATCGGGATGACTCATGTGGCGGCAGCGGGAACTCAGACTGGAGGTAAGCAAATTATCCCTCCTTCGCATAATTATGGAACTGGTTGGATGGGGAAGGTTGGCAGCTTGTGGGGTTACAAATTGATAGACATGATTTAGTTAATCTCTTCATGTGAATTATGGTCAATTAAGGGCTAACGTGGGTAGAATAATTGGGTGTATTTAGGTTGTTTCTAGTGGCAAAGCATAATTAGTCCACTACGTAAGAGGTTCCCAAGGTTTCTGAAAATAATTAGTCTTTGGATGGTCATAAAAAGAGTTTCGGGAAGCAAACAAAGGAGTGGAGCTGCGTGCATGGGAATGCTGTTAAAACCGAACCGGAGTACGATCCGATAACTTGAACGGCTCACACTTAAGTGGTCCCAACTCTATCTTTCCCTTTCCTTACTACGATTTTCCTTTCCTCGTCCTCCATTGGGATTCAGATCCCATTCTTCTTCTTCCCTTCATCCTCTTCCTCTTTTGTAGCGATCTACTTTCTTCCTCTTATTGGCATGGGAGCAAGGGAACGGTGGAGCCGTGTAACGAACGGGCCTTAAATGTAAATAATCCGAAGTGCTGATGTAATTGGTAATTGTAGTTCGGGGGGGGGGGTCAAATGGTTATTTGATAGCCTGTATAAAGGAGAGGGCGCGTAGACCCTTGTAACTACTTTTGGAGATAATAACAACTCTACTTTTCCTTCTCGCTCTCTCTCTCTCTCTCTCTCTCGGTTCTTCTCTCTTCCTTCTCCCTTTCTCCTCTGCTTTCTCTGCAATTCTTCTTCGCCAAGTCCGTTCTAGACTCCCTGGGGTTACAAGGTGGTATCAGAGCCTGCACTTGGCACTATTCACTAATGGCGTCTAGACGAGGTTCCTTTGATGAGCGCCTCACCAGTCTCATGGCGTCGACGTCACAGGCACAGGGCGATTTGGACGACAAAATCGCCGACGTCCGCAGCCTAGTCACATTGCAGGAAACTCGATTCCAAGATCTGGTGACTCGTTCGGAAGGCCATTCACAGTAATTTGTCAATCTTACAGCTCAATTGGATTCCATGGAAGCAGGTACGGCGACGCGATTGACGGAGTTGGAGAAGTGTCTGGATACTCGTTTTGGCAATTTTACTCATGAAATTCGAGAAATACTTCAATTGATCGTTAATCCCAGGCCACATGGTTCCATTGCCGGTGCGGCGTGTTCGCTGCTTGATCGGATTGGAGCTCGAGGAATTTTTCATCTTCCACACCAGGGATTTAGGGGTGTTGATCCTGTTGTTGCGCAGGCACCTAGGGTTCAGGCTCCGTTTAATCCAGTTGTTGAGTGGGAGTTTTTTCCGGCTCCACCCCCAAGTAATAATCATCGACTTCCCCGTCTCGATTTTCCGTCCTTCAATGGAGAATATCCACGTGAATGGACTAGGAAATGCGAAAAACTATTCAAGATTTATGCTATCCCTAATGATCAGAAGGTGAATTTAGCAGTGATATATTTCCAGCGTCATGCATATTTATGGTTTGAAGGCTGGAAGATTGGTAGACAGGTAATGGTGTGGGAGGAATTTGTGGCGGCACTGTGCCAACGGTTTGGCAATCGCACCTATGGGGGAGTGGTTGCTGAGTTCAACAAACTCAAGCAGCGTGGTTCTTTAGCTGAGTATCAAGAAAAATTCGAGGAATTGCGTTCATTAATGGCTCGTTTTAATCCAACCTTGGATGAAATCTATTTCATTAGTAGTTTTATCAGTGATTTAGAGGAGGAATTGAGGCCAGTGTTGCAGATGTGGAAGCCTCAAACTTTGCCTGATGCGTTCCAGTTAGCTGAGTTTCAGGAGGAGTCCAATGCTGTCCATCAAAAGAAGTGGCATGTGAATTATGGAGGTCCTAATCGTCCAATGGTGGCTTCCAGTAGCACCAATACTCCTCAACCTCATCGTTGGGAAGGTCCTTCTGTGAGACCTGCAGGCGGGGTCAAAGCTCCTATGGTGAATTCAAAGGGAAATGGGGCGAGAGGAGTCTGTTATAAATGTGGCGAAAGGTAATTTTTTTGGCCATGTGTGCGGAGCAAAGAAACAACTCAATGTATTGCAGGCTGAGGGTGATGAGACTGTTGGGGAGGAATGGAATGTATATGAGGAAGAAGAGGTGTTGGAGCCAGGTTTGGAGTCTATGCATAGTGAGCTTGAAGAGGTGTCTATGCAGGCACTCAACAGTGGAGGTATGGCCAATTCTCTGTCTCTGGTAGTACAAGGCAAGGTTAGACACGACAAGATTTTCATTTTAGTAGACACGGGTAGTACTCACACTTTCCTTAGTGAGAGGAAGGCTCATGAACTTAAACGTCAGCTGGTTCCAGCTAGTCATCATCTTCGTGTTAAACTTCCAAATGGCACTGTTTTGCTTAGTCATATGGTTTGCAAAGGGTTTTGTTGGGAAATGTAGGGCAGGAGGTTTCAATATGATATGAGGATATTGAGTCTGGGGTCAAATGATGTTGTTCTCGGGTTGGACTGGCTCAAAACAATTAGCCCTGTTAAGTTTGACTTCATTGAGCTACGATTGTTTTTTGAGTGGGAAGTAAAGGAAGTAATTTTACAAGGGCTCCAGGATGTGGCTCACTGTAAGTTGATATCTGGCAAGCGTCTGGAGAAGTGGTGGGCTAATTCTGAGATTGCTTTTGTGGGGCAACTTTGTGGTCTGGAGGAGGTAGACCAGTTGTGTAGTCTGACTGGCAATGAGGCTTTGGACAAGCAGCATGCCTCTGATTTTTTGTCACCAGTTTTACAGGAGTACAAGGATGTCTTTGGGAAGCCACAGTCATTGCCACCCTCAAGAGAATGTGATCATACCATTCCATTGGCACCTGACTCTAACCCAGTGAACCTGAGACCTTACAGGTACTCCATCCCACAAAAAAATGAGATGGACAGACTGGTAAAGGAGATGCTCGAGTCTAAGTACATCCAACCCAGCCGTAGTCCTTATGCTTCACATTTGCTGCTAGTGCTTAAGAAAGATGGATCATGGCGTTTCTGTGTGGACTATAGGAAGTTAAATGATCTTACTATTAAAGACAAGTTTCCCATCTCTATGATCGATGATCTTTTGGATGAACTTAGTGGATAAAAGTTTTTTAATAAGCTTGATTTGTTGTCAGGTTACCACCAGATTAGGATGAGTGCTCTGGATCAGCACAAGACTGCTTTTCGAACGCATCAAGGGTTGTATGAGTTCACTGTGATGCCGTTTGGACTCACCAATGCCCCTGCTACATTTCAGGCTCTCATGAACAAGATATTCAGTCCTCATCTCAGACAGTTCAGACCTTATAGACAGACTACAGTGGCCAGCACGTTTAATCAGAAGCTGGGACCAAAGTATTTTCGTCCTTTTCCCATTGATAAGAAGATTGGAGCTGTTGCTTATCACCTACAACTTCCAGTTGGATAAGCAATGCACCCGGTTTTTCATGTATCAATGCTGAAGAAGGCTAAAGTGCGAAGTTAGGTGCAGGTGCAGCCATGTGTGCCAGAGTTGGATAAACAGGGAAGCATGAAGCTAGCTCCTATTGCTATCGTGACCCGTCGAGTAGTGGCCAAGGAAAACAAACCTTCGACCCAGGCGCTTATTCAGTGGTCGCATCAGGCGGAAGAGGACGCAACTTGGGAATTTTTGATCGTGTTTCGGCAGCGTTTTCCGGACTTTTCAGCTTGATGACAAGCTGTCTGCAAAGGAGTGGTGATGTAATTGGTAATTGTTGTTCGGGGGGGTGGGGGTCAAATGGTTATTTGACAGGCTGTATAAAGGAGAGGGCGCGTAGACCGTTGTAACTACTTTTGGAGATAATAACAACTCTACTTTCCCTTCTCTCTCTCTCTCTCTCTCTCTCTCTCTCTGTTCTTCTCTCTTTCTCCTCTGTTTTCTCTGCAATTCTTCTTTGCTACGTCCGTTCTAGACTCCCAGGGGGTTACAAGTCGAATCTCAAAAGGAGCAAGCTGCAGTGGGAGAGATCGTCGGAGTGGTGTATCCGACAACTTGCTGGGCGTGAAGGGGGATACAAATATGGAATTAATTAAGGAGATCGAGTATAAGGTGTTTTGGGTTGAGGAGCTCAAGGTTGGTTTTAATCAAGGCAATGTGAGGCTTTGGCTAAATTATATGTTTGGTCACTCAAATTATATAAATTTTTCGCGTTTGCCACACGAATTACTTTTCTTTCATATTCGCCACTAACTTTACGAATCGTTTCACTGTTAGTCACTGGTCGTTAGTCTTCGTCAGACTCCATTAACTCCGTCAGTTTTTTATGACGTGGCAAACGAAAATTCTAACTGGACCACTAACATATTAAAATAAAAAATAGTGACAATGGCAATTAAAAATAGAAAATAGAAATGTACCCCTCCCCCTTTTCTTTCTTCTTCTTCCTTTGCCTATCCATTTTCTTCAAGCAAGATACCTAATTCCGGTTTCATTTTTCTCTAGTTCCAGCTCGACTTTCATCTCGTTCTCCGGCGCCACTATTTCTCTGCGCCACCATGGACAATCTAGACGACACGACGAATCTTCTTGTGGTGGAATAGGAGATTCATGGTGTTGACAACGGATCGTCTCCGCCCCCTCCCCCCTTCATTCTTTGATCCAGATCCCCAATTCCCCAATTCGACAGATGGGACTTCTGGTTCCCACACTATCGATAACATCTTCCTCCAAATTTTCTCCTTTTTGAGTTATTTTTTTTAATTGAATCATAGTCTGTGCAGTAGTCATGGGGGAGGAAAAGAAGATGATTGCATGTGAGGCGAACAGAGGAGAAAACGACCACAACGGTGGAAGCGGGCTTCGTGCCTACCATGCGGATTTTCCCGGAAAGACGAACAATCAGATTCGGTCAGGACTATGGAGGACGCGGTTGTGCTCGTCGAGCATCATGGTGACGTCCTTGTCGTTGGAGAGCGTGATGAGGGAGTCGAGATCGTGGCTGGTAAGCTGGTATTTGAGAGCTAACAGTGTTCCGAAGTTGAGGGCGGCGACCAAATGGGTGGTGAGAATAGAGAGAGTGAGATTGGTGACGGTGGTAGGCTGTGATAGTAGCACACATGTGACGCAACTTAGACCCGCCGATGGCTGTAGCTAGCGTGGCGGTGGAGGGTGATGGCTCCATTTCCAGAGGTCAGCGGTTAGGGATTGTACTGGATGAAAATTGCAAATTGGGTAATTGTTGATTGGGTTGGGTGAGGCGGAGGAGTTTGAGTCAGGAGAGGCAGCTTGGAGACCTTTGTTGCTGCATTTATCTTCTTCTTCCTCCTCACTGCAATTAGAAACCCCCTGAAACGGATTGGTGGAAGAGAAGCAAGGTTGACTGGGGAAGAGAAAAAGTCAGCTGACTCAGCTCAATTCCATGAGATTGTGGAGAAGAGGAAGAGACCTGATGAAGCAACGCCCGGAAACAGAAGGGAGAATTCGATCCCGGAGAAATAAATGGGATAATCGCTAGTGCTGTAGCGGCGTTGCCGTCGGGCTCGGGGTTTGGAAACGGAGGGTGGCGGCCGCTGGTTTTTAGGTTAACGGCCCATCAGTTAACGACCAAGTTATTTTAAGCTCCGATGCGGTGAGAATGACCGGTAATTTTTAATTTTTAATTTACATGTCATTAAGTTAACGGTCCAGTCAGCAGTTCTGTTTGCTGTGTCATCAAAAAGTTGATAGAGTTAAAGGAGACTAACGGTTGATGACTAACTATGAAATAATTTGTAAAGTTAGTGGCCAATAAGAAAGAAAAGTAATTCGGGTGACAAACGTAAAAGATTTATGCAATTTTAGTGACCAAACGTGTAATTTAGCCGTGAGGTTTTAATTAATTGGGTTACAAATATGGAATTAATTAAAGGGATGAATGTCATAAACCAGTTGGTCCCAATAACTCGAGTTGTTGGAGGAGGTTATGATGGATCTTATACAGGCCCATATATGGTACTTAACCACTTCCTTACATGCCCCCTCAAACGAAATCCAACTCACAGGCTTGAAGTTTGCACAGGCCTGCCATACCATGTGCTTGAAAGACAACGGTTAATATTGGGGGTCGTGAGGACTTGAACACGTGACCGCAAGGACAAACCAGCTCTGATACCATGTCATAAACCAGTTGGTCCCAATAACTCGAGTTATTGAAAGGAAGTTATGTTGGATCTTATACAAGCCCATGTATGGTACTTAACCACTTCCTTACAAAGGGTTGGAATTTACGTGGAGAGCATTTGGATATTGCAAGTCTTGTGACCTTATGAAACTCATTTGGTCAGTTAATCAGCTAGGAGCGCTAAATAATTCCATGCATGAGGTTGCATGGTCGTACGGGGCGACTACATATATAGCATGTACACCAAAAGCAAGGAGTTGAATTGTTACGTGGTTAATTCAAGTCCATCGACTTGAAATATAAGGTGAGTGTAAAGTGGATAAAATCTTCGTTGATTTCTTTTAGTTTATGCTTCTACTTTAAGTTATTTTCGTTAATTTTCAAGTATACGCGATTATGTATGTGAGGCGTCCTACCGCCTACTTAATGTGGAGGCACGCGTTGTGTTATTTATGAATGTATGATTGTAATTTGTGGTTGATGGTAACTGAACCCCCGGGCGGTTGGGCCGCTACTGGACGCTGTAGATGGTCGGGTCACTACTGGACGGCGATACGTAACGTAGTAGTTGGCCAAGCATTGACTGGACGATGATACTTATCGCAATACCATTTCCTTGAGGATAGGGACACTGGACGACGATACGTAACGCGGTGGACCCTAGTAGTAAGTGTATAAGTTAAAGATAGAAGTACAGAACTTCTATAAGCTATTAACGACTAAAGTATTAAGGATGAAGACGAGAACGACTTTCATGTAAGATGAAGTAATTTCTAATAATGTGTTAGTAAGGATTTGCTTAGGCAAAGATCTTAGGAAGTAACGACGAGACTGACTCCTTCTCACTCACTAGGTTAAGGAAGGGTTAGCGGATGTGAACATCGAGAAGAGGCAGGATGAGATGAGAAACCGAAGCCATGCGTATTTAGATTTGTTGAATTTCATTTGAATTTCTTTGGGAAATGATTCAGTTGTATTTGTTTTATTGGAATTTTGAGTTGGTTTTAAATTGGCTCCGAAGCCATGCGTATTTAGATTTGTTGAAAAGGATCGAGTTGTTTCAACTCTAACCCTAGAAGAAACCAAATCCAATGTTTGAGTGGCGATGACGGTGACATATATTTTTATTTATAGATATTTACGACGAGATTAGGGCAAATTAAGTGATAGACAAGTAAGGGTTTACTATTAATACCTTTCTAGTGTTGGAATCCTTATACAATAATGATAAGTTGCGTAAGCGGTCTACCACATACTTGACAGGTCGACCCTTTTTACTATTTGGGGAGATAATTCTGATTTCGATGTTGATAAGGTAATGCAATAGAGATTGACCCTTTTAAGAATGAGGTCGACCATTTAATGTACAAGGTCAACCACTTTAAGAATGAGATCGGCCTTTTATATTGTTTGCTTGCCAAAGAGGTCGATCATTTCATGTACAAGGCCAACTACTTTGTTGAACATAACAAAAGAGAAACAGTAGATTTAGTCGACCTTTATTACCTTGCGGTAGACCTATTTGTGCAAGTCACCGTAGCAAAGTCCTAAATATAGACTTATAAATGATTTCTGACCGTAAAGTTATAAACTAGATCAAGGAGCGGAGCCAAAATTTGAGTATCTGGGGGTCGAGGTTTTTTTCGTATCATTAGAGAAGCAAAAAGCACAAAAATAAATATACTAAGAATAAGAGAACCAAATTATTAGTTTAGATAATTAGATTCCTTCATAGTAGTATTGATGAAATAAAATGTTATCCTATTATTTTAGTTACAAATGATTTAATTATAAAAAAAATTAATAATACATTTCAATACATAACATATTTTTAACATCTTTCAAACGGGTAAAAAGAATGTGCACTAAATAAAATGTTGGGGATATGGCTAAGTCCTTGCATGCAAACAATAGTAAGAGTGCACGGGAGTTTCTAACACAATGTCACTTCGCATGTAACATCATGATCCTTTTAACAAAAAAATAAAACTGCTACTCCAGACCACAGTAAAATTTCTTAAAAATCAAACAAGAAAACAAAAACTGAATCATTCCTTAAAATTCAAATGCAACAGCTTGGCAACTTCATCCTTAAATCATAAAACACAAACTCTAAATCTTCAGTTTATACTCATAATCATGAAACGAAACAACTAAACGGGTCCTGCTACAACTTCATATTGTGATCCATCCTTAGACATCTTCACTAATGATGATGCTGCTCATATCGCACTATCTCCTCTCGTGCTACTTGACCTCTAACCCTTTCTCTATCTGGTGAGTGAGAAGGGATCAGTTTACGATGCTACAAAGAACTACGTATAAGAAAGAAACCTTAAACATACGACTTTACTTTGAGGGAGTTGATCTTACTCCATTCCTTTGACATTATCTTATAAAAGAAAACGGTAGGAGTGGCACTACTCTCCACCCTTAACCTAAAAAACTAGACACCCCTTAACCCATGACATTGTAGTTCGGTATCCTAACCTCTTAGGCAATGACCCGCATTTTAATTCGTCGTCTGGTACCATGCCTAATTAACTACTGCGTATCATATGGCAGTCCAGTAGTGATCCAACCACCCCGGGATATTATTTCCTTACTAACACTCACTCATCACATACACATAACCTTCATTAGGTAGTGAGATAGCTCAAAATCTTATCCTCGCCATCAATAGGCGATGGGTTACCTCAATATATATCCATAGGCCTCATATATTCTCAATTCTCCTAGTTCAAATGTCTAAGAAAATGAATCCTCAAACATGCATCGCGAGTAATTATTATAACTAAAAGCTTGAACTCATAAAGCTTAATCTTAAAAACCTCGGAGTAGAATTTAACCCATTTACAATCACCTCAAAAAGACGATTCATCGATTCCTTACTTGAAGAAATCTCTCCTTCGTCGAATTACCTAAAAAAACCTATGAATCAGAAATTGCGTTTTAGCCGACCTTTCTCGGTATGAAACCCCTTTTGAATTACTTGAACACTGTCTCCTCAAAATCCAATCCTCAAACCACTTTTCAAAGACCCCGTAACCTCCTTACAAAATTTTCTATCAATAACTTCTTTAGAAATCGACCCTTTTCAAATTAAATTCATATTGAACGAATTTTTCACTCAACTTGAACCTCCTTAAAAATCCATACCATAATTTTCCAGGTCGACCATGAGGACTAGTAACTTGGAAAATTATCAAATTCGTAAAAAAACCTCGACATGATTTTAATTAATTAAAATTGACATTTGATTAATTTCTAAAAATAGTAAATCATCTTCAAAAATCTTCAAATTAAATCACCGGCACCGAATGGATTCTCCTTCTATCTCTAGAATTTTTAAAATCAGAAACAAACTCCTATATAAGCTCAAAACAATTTAAAGAACTTAATTCACGTTTCACGAAATTTCCTGCAGCTTTAGTGACTCACCAGATCGGTCACTAGTGGTCTCTAAAACTGTCGTTAAATTCCCAAAACTACACCCTCACAAACAAACTTGGTAATGATTGTTAATACCGACTGGCTTGACCCCGCTCCTACTGCGCGTGACCGAGGAGGGAAGTGGAGGCGGCCGCTACTTTATGAAGGTGGAGAAATTGGGACGTGCACTACTCTGCTGCTGAGGAAATAGGCACTAACTAGGGGGGGGGGGGTTTCCTTTAATTGCTGCTTGGGGGTTTGGGGGAAATGTGAGGAGTTTAGGGGGGGAGTTGAGGGCCGCTCGTCCCTCGGCCCAATTAACGATAATTTTTTTTATAAATAATGTTAATTTTTTTTTTATAAATAATGTTAATTTTTTAATTATAATAATAAATTTTTTTATTCCTAATCCACGGTTGCAACCTTTCGTACGTAACCGTCAATCCAACCGCATTTATTATGGTCGAACCTGAATACAAATATCGGGGTGTTACATTTCCTCCACTCCTATAAAAAAAATCTACCCCGAAATTTGCTTAGACTCATGCTTCCATTAACACCATTTTGGTACCTCCTTGCCCCATGAATTTATTCTTGCTATATGAATTTTTATGGTTTCCTTTGCTTGTCTTGTATTGTT